TTTTGCCAAACATAGAAATTATGTGTATTCGACCCTAAAAAAGTTATGTGTATATATTAGTTTTATACGGATTGGAACGGATATTTAGATTTTTTAAATTAATATTGGTGATTTATTTTGCTTAAAACATATATTAAATTGTACTATTTACTTTGTTTTAATTTATAGCGTTTGGATCGAATAAAAACGGATCGCAGCGAATCTAACTGATAATTTGTCCACCCCAATATACACCCCAATATATGTAGTTGAATTAAAAATAAAATCTAGGGAGGGAAGAACGTATATGAAAGTGCAATAATTACGTGAAGTAATAATAATAAATGGGGTCCTCTCTTTCAAAAGAATCTTTTTGACTTTTAATGCCTCTCTCTTTACTGCTATTACTACTATATATACACAAGGCACAACACTATCTTCTCTTTCTATGCAAAATTATTAAAGGCGATTACACCTTTATCTACGAGGAAAACAACTAGACAACATTTTTCTAATTTTTGAATTTGCTAAGTATTGTTTTTTCATCTTATGAAATACTATGGCTATGCAATCGAATTCAAAATTATTAATAGTATATAGCATGACTAAAAATGTCGGAAAAAGATAAAGTAAACTAAAGCAAGAAATGCAGAATGCTTTGTCTTTTATTTGTCTTATCTATATTTTTCCATGAGTTACCAAAGAAATCAACTAGTTTATTGATTTGCAACGCTTTCTAGACATTTTTCACATTAATTATTGCATGTGTTTTTCCTTTTGGACTTTGTGCAAAATCCGATATAGCTTTTCAATGATAAATGTTGGATTAATAGTAACAAGAAACTTAATCAACAAAGTGTTGGTGGATGCATTGATGCAAGAGCGTAAAATGAGTGTAAAACGAAAGGTAAATGACTAATGAGAAGAGTGAAGTGGGCACAAACAAAAAAAGTCACAAGCAGCTTCGTTGCAAAGACAAGGACTAGAAATGGAGATCTATATTTGGTCGGCCATATTAAGATTGTTACAACACACCATGTGGTCAATTTACGTAGCTCGGTTTTTGGGAGTTTTAGATAAATTTATGTAAATAT